CACATGTATCAGTTTCAGCATTTAACCATTCAAACATCGACCACCAGGCACATGTGTCCGTTTCAACATTCAACCATTCAAACATCGACCACCAGGCACCTGTATCAGTTTTAACATTCAACCATTCAAACATCGACCACCAGGCACCTGTATCAGTTTCAACATTCAACTATTCAAACATCGACCACCAGGCACATGTGTCCGTTTCAACATTCAACCATTCAAACATCGACCATCAGGCACCTGTATCAGTTTTAACATTCAACTATTCAAACATCGACCATCAGGCACCTGTATCAGTTTCAACATTCAACCATTCAAACATCGACAATCAGGCACCTGTGTCAGTTTCAACATTCAACTATTCAAACATCGACCATCAGGCACCTGTATCAGTTTCAACATTCAACCATTCAAACATCGACCATCAGGCACCTGTATCAGTTTTAACCTTCAACCATTCAAACATCGACCATCAGGCACCTGTATCAGTTTCAACATTCAACCATTCAAACATCGACCATCAGGCACCTGTATCAGTTTCAACATTCAACCATTCAAACATCGACCATCAGGCACCTGTATCAGTTTCAACATTCAATCATTCAAACATCGACCACCAGGCACATGTGCCCGTTTCAACATTCAACTATTCAAACATCGACAATCAGGGACCTGTATCAGTTTCAACATTCAACCATTGAAACATCGACCATCAGGCACCTGTATCAGTTTTAACATTCAACCATTCAAACATCGACCACCAGGCACATGTATCAGTTTCAACATTTAACCATTCAAACATCGACCATCAGGCACCTGTATCAGTTTCAACATTCAATCATTCAAACATCGACCACCAGGCACATGTGTCCGTTTCAACATTCAACCATTCAAACATCGACCATCAGGCACCTGTATCAATTTCAACATTCAATCATTCAAACATCGACCACCAGGCACATGTGTCCGTTTCAACATTCAACCATTCAAACATCGACCATCAGGCACCTGTATCAGTTTTAACATTCAACCATTCAAACATCTACAATCAGGCACATGTATCAGTTTCAACATTCAACCATTATAACATCGACAATCAGGCACCTATATCAGTTTCAACATTCAACCATTCAAACATCGACCACCAGGCACATGTATCAGTTTCAACATTTAACGATTCAAACATCGACAATCAGGCACATGTATCAGTTTCAACATTTAACCATTCAAACATCGACCACCAGGCGCATGTATCAGTTTCAACATTCAACCAATCAAACATCGACCATTAGGCGCATGTATCAGTTTCAACATTTAACCATTCAAACATCGACCATCGGCCAAATGTATCAGTTTCAACATTCAACCATTCAAACATCGACCATCAGGCACATGTATCAGTTTCAACATTCAATCATTCAAACATCGACCATCAGGCGCATGTATCAGTTTTAACATTCAATCATTTAAACATCGACCATCAGGCACATGTGTCCGTTTCAGCATTCAACCATCGACCATCAGGCACCTGTATCAGTTTCAGCATTCAACCATTCAAACATCGACCATCAGGCACCTGTATCAGTTGTAACATTGAGTCATTCAAACATCGACCATCGGGCACATGTATCAGTTTCAGCATTCAACCACTCAAACATCGACCACCAGGCACCTGTATCAGTTTCAACATTCAACCATTCAAACATTTAAACATCGAGCATCAGGCACGCGTATCAGCTTCAATATCCTCTGATTCAATTGAAATATAATAAAGAATACAAATAGTAATGTTTGAAAATATGTATCATTGTGAATTCCAGTGATTTGTTATCTGCCACCGGATACATTTATCAAGCATTTGTCTCGATTCAAACTAAGTAAAAGTACTAAGTAAAATATATATTTTAGTTATCAGGCATATATATTTAATGTATATGCACACTATTTATAGGAATAGCATCTCTAGGCACGCTATATTATGTAGGCACCCAATCTCTTGACACAACACCTATAATCCCGCCATATGATGTATGTACACCATCTGTTGACACAACACCTATATTCCCGAAATATAATCATGTATTTAACCATCTGTTGACACATCACCTATATTCCGTCATATTATGTATGTACACCATCTGTTGACATAACACCTATGTTCCCGAAATATAATGTATTTAACCATCTGTTGACACAACACCGATATTCCCGCCATATTATGTATGTACACCATCTGTAGACATAACACCTATATTCCCGAAATATAATATATTTAACCATCTGTTGACATAACACCTATATTACCGAAATATAATCATGTATTTAACCATCTGTTGACACAACACCTATAATCCCGCCATATGATGTATGTACACCATCTGTTGACACAACACCTATATTCCCGAAATATAATCATGTATTTAACCATCTGTTGACACATCACCTATATTCCGTCATATTATGTATGTACACCATCTGTTGACATAACACCTATGTTCCCGAAATATAATGTATTTAACCATCTGTTGACACAACACCGATATTCCCGCCATATTATGTATGTACACCATCTGTAGACATAACACCTATATTCCCGAAATATAATGTATTTAACCATCTGTTGACATAACACCTATATTACCGAAATATAATCATGTATTTAACCATCTGTTGACATAACACCTATATTCCCGCCATATGAAGTATGTACACCATCTGTTGAAACAACACCTATATTCCCGTCATATTATGTATGTACACCATCTGTTGACATAACACCTATATTCCCGAAATATAATCATGTATTTAACCATCTGTTGACACAACACCTATATTCCCGCCATATGATGTATGTACACCATCTGTTGACATAACACCTATATTCCCGCCATATCATGTATGTACACCATCTGTTGACACAACACCTATATTCCCGCCATATTATGTATTTAACCATCTGTTGACATAACACCTATATTCCCGAAATATAACGTATTTAACCATCTGTTGACACAACACCTATATTCCCGCCATATCATGTATGTACACCATCTGTTGACATAACACCTATATTCCCGTCATATTATGTATTTAACCATCTGTTGACACAACACCTATATTCCCGCCATATCATGTATATACACCATCTGTTGACATAACACCTATATTCCCGCCATATTATGTATTTAACCATCTGTTGACATAACACCTATATTCCCGAAATATAACGTATTTAACCATCTGTTGACACAACACCTATATTCCCGCCATATCATGTATGTACACCATCTGTTGACATAACACCTATATTCCCGTCATATTATGTATTTAACCATCTGTTGACACAACACCTATATTCCCGCCATATCATGTATATACACCATCTGTTGACACAACACCTATATTCCCGCCATATTATGTATTTAACCATCTGTTGAAACAACACCTATATTCCCGCCATATGATGTATATACACCATCTGTTGACATAACACCTATATTCCCGAAATATAATGTATTTAACCATCTGTTGACACAACACCTATATTCCCGCCATATCATGTATGTACACCATCTGTTGACATAACACCTATATTCCCGCCATATTATGTATTTAACCATCTGTTGACACAACACCTATATTCCCGCCATATCATGTATGTACACCATCTGTTGACATAACACCTATATTCCCGCCATATAATGTACATACACCATCTGTTGACATAACACCTATATTCCCGCCATATAATGTATTTAACCATCTGTTGTCACAACACCTATATTCCCGAAATATAACGTATTTAACCATCTGTTGACATAACACCTATATTCCCGCCATATCATGTATGTACACCATCTGTTGACATAACACCTATATTCCCGCCATATTATGTATGCACACCATCTGTTGACACAACACCTATATTCCCGCCATATTATGTAGGCACACTATCTATATGCATGCCTATATACAATAATAAACATGACTCGAATCTTCGATCTCCTTCTATATGCCCAGGACAGAGTTAGCTATCACGTGATAATGTATTTAACCATCTGTTGACATAACACCTATATTCCCGCCATATTATGTAGGCACACTATCTATATGCATGCCTATATACAATAATAAACATGACTCGAATCTTTGATCTCCTTCTAAATGCCCAGGACAGAGTTAGCTATCACGAAGCAACTGATGATAGATAAAGAACACATGTCAACAAACTGATTCCGTTAATTACCCGTGCTGTCCCCTCCACGCTGTGACATTGCCATGATATATGTACAGCTGTGGCTGACGATAAACTTCAAAAACAGAATGCTCTCGCAAATGATTTGATGAATCTAATAGCAGACACACCATTTGTATTGCGAAAATATATGTACATGCAAAACGATACAAATGTATAACAAACCCATACTACATATTTTACAAATGACATCCATATCTTGACATCAGGCATACCTACAGCACATAGGTCAGTTCCTGGGATGCACAAAGAAAGATAAAGGAAACTAGGTCCATCGAGTACTCGAAGAAACATCACCAGTTTCATGACCCTGAGACAGTTTCACTAAATGGAGCTACAGCTATTCGAACTTCTAGGATTTCTTTTAAAAGCGGATGATGCTACAACTGATATTTCATGGTACGTTTGAAGTATGATGCTATGAAGTATGATGATATGTTGAAACTGGTGGGTGGGGGGGGGGGGGGGGGGGGGGGGGGGGGGGATGTAGCCCAGTGGCAGGTGGTTCGCTCGTCTCACCTGACCCAGGTTTCATCTCCACATCGGTACAATGCGTGAAGCTATTTCTTCGTGTAATATTGTTGGAAAATTGTTAAAGCAACGAAACCCAAAATTCATTTAGTTTTGTTTCTTTATTTGAACGTATACATCTTTAAATTCCCTAAATTCGGTATAACGTACGAACACTTTCGGAAAGGTTAATAAGGCCTGTAATATGGTAAATTCAACAAGAAAATCTTACCTGTGCCTGCAAACGCTGGCCTTAGGTTATCATTCCCGTTGGGTGGAGTCTCTCCGAAGTCGGAGTGTGAGATCTCCAACATGCATTCTGACTGATTCGTATTGATGAGTCCCTCCTCCTCCTCCTCCTCCTCCTCCTCCTCCTCCTCCTCCTCCTCCTCTTCCTCCTCCTCCTCCTCGCCATCACCATTTTCATCATCATCAAATCGTTTATTTGTCTCAGGTTCTGGTAAGTACGTTTCACTGCCCCGAGTCCAGTCAGCCGCCCCTCCTACCTTCAACGCCCGAAACCCCCCTTCTTCCCCCTCAAGCAGCTCCGTGGCGACTCCCCCCGCGCCACCCCCTTCCTCACTCCCACTCAGCGACGTCTTGTCTGGCATTACTGCTGTATACCACACACCATCGCAATGTCAACAGTGGCTTGATGTCAATTCTTCAAAACGATGCACGAATGGAGCCACCATGTGATATCACTGTCAATTTCAAAAGACACAAATTTGGATATGACTTGCCCAGTGTGAGGACTGCTCTCACCTGTGAGTTTCACGCTCTGAGAGACTTGTAGAAAGTTGTCTCTACGCGAACCAACGCTAAACACACGTCCAACAGTCCCATCTCGCCAAGAGCTACAGCTGAACCAAGGAAAGATGAGCGACCATGACCAGAATATGAGGTTGCGTCTGTGTATACACAGCTCAACCAACGTCAGCCGGCATGGAAGCGTGAAACGACTTCGAGACATAATGTGTATCACATGTTATATATTATATGCGATATTATCTGTTATGCGTCGATAGTGAATGAGTTCGGTTTAACGACGCTTTTAACATTATTCCAGTTACATCAGCTCAATGGGGGAGGAATGCCCGAAGTGATGCAGGTCTCAGACGTTTACCACTTCGGTGAAACCCGCGAGCACGGGTATGGTGCTGACAAACCTAGAAACATAATCGGGGCGAACCGGGATTCGAACTCACAATCATAGGTCTCTGGCATGAGCGAAGGACGCAACTCTGCACAGCGAATTGCGGCGCCTTAGACGACTGGGCCACCCCTGCACCCAGTGTTAACAAGGGATTCATTTGGGGGGCGGGGGGTGGGGGGTGGGGTATTTGTATTGTAATTAGCACTGCGATATTATTAAGAGAACTTTCCACAATGCCTATATTGACATGATGACAAAATTTGTAATTTATTTGTTTCGAGTCTGGACCAGACAATCCAGTGATTGATATAAAGAACAACGATGCACGCAGTCGGGGTGAGATAACACGCAGTCCTTAAGTCTCTGAGTCTGACCACCGATCGATTTAGTCGCCTTTAACGGCTTGCACTTGTCGGGCAGCCCAATTCGTTGTGCAGAGTTGCGTCCCTTGGGCACGCCAGAAACCTATAATCGTTGGTTCGAATTATCTTTCTAGGTTTGTCAGTCCTATACCCGTGCTCCTGGAAAACGTCGAAAGACGGCATCACTTCGGGCTTTCCTTCTGCATCAACCTGACACGCGGTGATATTTGGAATACTGTTCAAAGCGGCCTTAAACCAAACCCACTCACTCACTGCTGATGGTCTGGTTTATGTTATTTTCTAAGGCAGTGGAAGAACGAGTGAGTGAAGTGGGCATGGGCGGATACAGAGGGGGGTGCGGGGGTGCGCCCCCCCCCCCCTTTTATTTCGAAAAAAAATATTTATTTCTGTATAAATCACCACCAAAGACAATATATAGATCTTAGTTGTGCATCCCCCCTTTTAAAAAAAAGCTGTATCCGCCTCTGGTGGGTGTTACTTCGCGTTTCACAATTTTCCAGCAATGTCAGGACGGGTGACACCACAAATGGGCTTCGCAGATTGCACCTTTGTAGGGCATAGAACCGCGCATTTCGGCTTGACGAGCGGACGTGTTAACCATCTCGCTACCCCATCACCCGATGTGTGACACAAGGCAGGCTACGTCATACCTGTACACAGTTGATAACAACGTCTGTGCAATGGGCTTATAGATAACATGTGGACTAATAACTGCCCCGGACACGTACACATGTACCGTGGAAATGTGCCAAACAGCGGTCAGGATAGCGTAAATCTATGCTGGCCGAGATGGGACATCGCTTTCTCGCCCTCAATTACGGCTGCGAGAGAGCGATACCACGAGACGAGAGAGCATTAGCACAAGCCCAGAAAGCGATACCACGGGACGAGAAGTAATAACACGAGACGAGAAAGCGATAGAGCGAGAAAGTAATCGATCGAGAAAGCGATAGAGATAGAAAGCGAAAAAGGAATAGAACGAGGCGAGAAAGCGAGAACCCGATGGTGCGAGAAAGTGATAGAACAATACGAGAAAGCGATGTTTCCCATACTACCGTACATTAAAAAGGTTTTTGCTGATATTCAGTGATCCATTCCTATAATTTTCACCGCTATTTTGTTTGGTGGCAGAGAGGGACATCGCTCTCTCGCCTTCAATTATTGCCACCAGAAGGCGATAAAGCGATAGCACGATACGAGATAGCGATAGCATGAGACGAGAATATTTACTGGGGCAAGAATATTTTATCCAGTCACATTTCAAATTATACCTATAAAGGGATAATTTAACTGTAGAGATGTAGGTGATTTGAAAAAATCCACGGATTTCTGATTGGTTTATTGCCATATCAAGGAGTTTTATGTGACAATCACGCCGAATGACAATACGCTCTAAATAAATCAGATTAAAATCAAAATATATACTTTTCAAAAGAAGTTAAAGAACACCCGATTCTTTCATATGACTATGGTTTATCAGCTGTGGCTGATTGTATTGCAAAACACATTTTTATAATTGCTGGCGTTCATACACTTGTTTTGAGTTGTATACAATGTTAAGCTATTGTCCATAAATATTCGTTTTGACATTTGATTTATGATCAACTTGTATTGTGTCGCGTGTCTGCGTAAAATGTAATTGAATAATTTATGGTCCCATTTAGGAGTTTAATAAGACTATCAAGCCGTCAGTGCGTGGCGGGTCATGGCAATAATCTAAATACTAATGTGAGACACACTAATTTTAGTATAGGAATATTCATAGTTATGTAACAATTCCCTATGTATTAGACTGTATGGTTGTTATCAGTTGTGCCTTCTGATGTGAGTTGGGGCCCCGGACACGTACACATGTACCGTGGAAATGTGCCAAACAGCGGTCAGGATAGCGTAAATCTATGCTGGCCGAGATGGGACATCGCTTTCTCGCCCTCAATTACGGCTGCGAGAGAGCGATACCACGAGACGAGAGAGCATTAGCACAAGCCCAGAAAGCGATACCACGGGACGAGAAGTAATAACACGAGACGAGAAAGCGATAGAGCGAGAAAGTAATCGATCGAGAAAGCGATAGAGGGAGAAAGCGAAAAAGGAATAGAACGAGGCGAGAAAGCGAGAACCCGATGGTGCGAGAAAGTGATAGAACAATACGAGAAAGCGATGTTTCCCATACTACCGTACATTAAAAAGGTTTTTGCTGATATTCAGTGATCCATTCCTATAATTTTCACCGCTATTTTGTTTGGTGGCAGAGAGGGACATCGCTCTCTCGCCTTCAATTATTGCCACCAGAAGGCGATAAAGCGATAGCACGATACGAGATAGCGATAGCATGAGACGAGAATATTTACTGGGGCAAGAATATTTTATCCAGTCACATTTCAAATTATACCTATAAAGGGATAATTTAACTGTAGAGATGTAGGTGATTTGAAAAAATCCACGGATTTCTGATTGGTTTATTGCCATATCAAGGAGTTTTATGTGACAATCACGCCGAATGACAATACGCTCTAAATAAATCAGATTAAAATCAAAATATATACTTTTCAAAAGAAGTTAAAGAACACCCGATTCTTTCATATGACTATGGTTTATCAGCTGTGGCTGATTGTATTGCAAAACACATTTTTATAATTGCTGGCGTTCATACACTTGTTTTGAGTTGTATACAATGTTAAGCTATTGTCCATAAATATTCGTTTTGACATTTGATTTATGATCAACTTGTATTGTGTCGCGTGTCTGCGTAAAATGTAATTGAATAATTTATGGTCCCCTTTAGGAGTTTAATAAGACTATCAAGCCGTCAGTGCGTGGCGGGTCATGGCAATAATCTAAATACTAATGTGAGACACACTAATTTTAGTATAGGAATATTCATAGTTATGTAACAATTCCCTATGTATTAGACTGTATGGTTGTTATCAGTTGTGCCTTCTGATGTGAGTTGGGGCACGGGTGGCCCAGTCGTCTAAGGCGCCGCGATTCGCTGTGCAGAGTTGCGTCCCTTGGGCACGCCAGAAACCTATGATTGTGGGTTCGAATCCCGGTTCGCCCAGATTATGTTTCTAGGTTTGTCAGTACCATACCTGTGCTCGTGGGTTTCACCGAAGTGGTAAACGTCTGTGACCTGCATCACTTCGGGCTTTCCTCCCACATTAAGCTGACACGCCGCGATATAACTGGAATAGTGTTAAAAGCGGCGTTAAACCCAACTCACTCACTCACTCTGATGTAAGGTATGCAATTATCTAACACATATGTACACAAACAGTGAGTCAGTCAGGTGGATATGCAGACAAACGGAAACCTACCTACCTACCTACCTACCTACCTACCTACCTACCTACCTCCCCCCTCCCTCCCTACCCACCCACCCACCTACCTACCTACCTACCTACCTACAGCTTGACAGAGGGAGACAGGCCGACAACACACCCACCCAAATACATAATTTGACAAAACTATACTTAATATATACATCAAATATTAGAATGACAGCTGATTGAAAACATGTTATAATTATTCATAGTAATGCGCTTCATGTTATCAACGTTAACTGTGTGGCCACACCAATTAGGATGTCTCTCCATATGTGCAGTTTACCCAAGTACACATATCAACTGTGACAACGCTGCCGTGATAACACCATTGATCATTAACACCACTGTGCACTTTATTCACCTTCTTACATACATAACCGCCCCCATGGTCTAGAGGTAGAGCGTCCGCCAGGAGAGCGGAAGGTCCGGGGTTCGATCCCCGGTCGCGTCATACCAAAAGACGTTAAAAGATGGTACTTGTTCTTACCCTG